AGTACAATTGGCCCATCTGCGTTCCTGCATAAATTTTCGCCGTTGGCAGACTCTATATGGTCCACCCTGTCGAAAACGAGGTGCACCACTGTACCGACAATTTTCGTCCAAAGAAATATCACACTGAAAAAAATCCAATTTATCAGTACTGGCTTCCCCGCCATATTTTATTACTCAACGACAACGAACTTTTAGAACTTTCAATGAAAATGTCGCTTGCCGTTGGATGGCATTCAGACGAAAAAAACCATTAAATTTTTAATGGGTTTTTTTTCGTCTGAATGCCATCCTGGCCAATCAGCATGCGTCACGACAAGTTTTTGGAACTATGTGTTATAAGGCTGCCCGCCCTCCCGCGGGCCAATCAGCGCATGCGTTACGCGACGAGTATATATATTATCATTTTTAAACTGATATTGACAATATCCTGAAATTATTGCGGACCTAAATAGCAAATAGCAAGTATGTTTTATAAGTTTTAAAAATAAAATATGAAGTATCTGTTAAAACAACATTTAAAATAATTGATTTGCAAACTTGAAAATAGATGTTTGCCTAATATTTTTAGATTTTAACAATATTGATCATTCATTTTTTAATTTGGCAGCACAATGAATTAGTTTTATTAAAATTTAACTGTTTGGTAAAATATTAAATGTACAAAGTTGGTAATAGAATCATGTATAATACCATATCTTATTTTGAGTAGTTGCCAATAATTTCACTGTTCATCATCATAAAATTTTGAAATAATTGTTTAAGTGACAAGAATGAGGTATGCGGGCTCTCGTTAAGCAACTTCAAATAAGCAACTTCCCCGATAAATGACGGCAACGTCATTTATCTCAGCTAATCATAAGTCTCGGAAAGATGCAGAATGTAGGTCATGAAGTTGCGCAACTATGTGCTGGGTTGGACGTCATGGCCTGTTTAAAAGCAACGCAAAAGCCCCCTTGCGGTCTTTCCTGTCGCCCAGCATCTCAACTGAAAGCTTTAAAAAAAAGACAGCAGAGCTATAAGGTGAGCGAGGGCTATCTAACTTTTCCTAGGATACAAGCTCGCGCGTTAAGTTCGCGGGATCGCAACCGCAGGAGTCGTATCGGGTAGCCAACCTGCATAGGAATCACCCCCTCATAGATGTAGGGGTAAACAGAAGTTACTTCAACGAGGTCCGAAGTATGCGCGTCTCAATTACCGTTGATTTCGAGAGCGGCAACATTGAAGTAGAATGCAGCCAAACAAATGTTCGAAATTATGAGAACTTTCCGCAAAATTTTTATTTCATCTTCATTCAATGCACATGGCTGTTTGCCAGGGGGACGATATGTGGTGTTGTAATTCCCACAGCAACGCTAGCTATAGGATAAACCCACAAAAATACGTTTACCAGAAAGGGAAACGATTGTCCGGGCGTGATCTGAAAGCCCAGACTAGCCCTAGCACCGGGACAGACTACACCGTTGCCAATCCAAACTCGCGGTACTGTAAGGCAAAGTCGAGTGAAGTAACTAAAGTAACTCAAAATTTGTAGACATTGTTTCTTTTAAAAAAAAATTGAGTTTAGAGCAATCTGGATTTAGTGTAAAGCAAACCACGCATTTCGACAAGCAGCCTCCCCCACGACCACACATTACAACATCGCCGATGCCAACAGAGCCGAAGCACGGGCTCGCTGCCAGGACGCGTGTGCTGGACGCTCGTAATGCTGGAAGGGACTGGATGCTGGTTGCTGAATGCAATGACATCCCTGCCACTACTGCGCGCGGCATCGTTAACCGCGGGACTCCGGAGGTAAAGCAGAGAGGAGGCTCGCGAGCAGCGTGCGTTAACACACCGGAGATGGAGGCAGCTCTGGTGGAGTACATTGAAGAAAATTGTCTGTACACTCTTGCTCAGATGCAGGAGATGCTGCACTTCGACTTCGGAGTGCGCATCAGTACGTCCTTGATCAGGAAGAAGCTGTGTGACAAGATGTATACAATGAAACATGTCCATGTACGCATACATTTAGCTGTTACGATTTTGTTTCTAACTTCAAATAATGTTGATAGGTGCGGGTCGAGCTGGAAACGTGTAATAGCGCGCAGAACATCAAGAAACGGAAAGACTTTGCGGACAGCCTGCTAGCTCATGAGAGAAATGGATCTTTCATTGTGTACTATGGTGAAACGAATTACAATATTTATTGTAAGAGATCCCAAGGACGCGCCCTCATTGGTGAGCGGGCCGTGGTTAAGCTGCCACCTTCCAAGGTGCAAACCTACAGTTGCAATGCGCGATTTCACCCGAAGTGGGGCTAGTACAATGGTCTAAGCAGCGTGGAAACATCAAGATGGAGATGAATGCGGCCTTCGTGGACGATGTGTACGACGCTGTGAAGGCTACAGATGTCTACCGAGACTTCTTTGTTGGTAAAACTATCGTTATCATCTTGGATAACGCTC